ATATTTATTTGACATACTTTTTGTCTGTCCTAGAAACATACATTGTATGTGTGTGCATGATTGAAAGGGGTTTGCTACAGTCTATGCATTGACTCATTCATTAAGCTCTTTTTTTTCATGGTAAAATTACAATATTCGGTTAACTGTAATTCATTACATTTTGTGCTCTCTAGATCGTTGAACTATCCTCATCGTATTGAAACACAGACAGATATGTGAACGAAGAATATTCTATCTTATTTAAAATCATAACATTAGAATTTCGGATTATTCTTAAAATAGAATAAAATTGTTAATCTCAGAATGATTAGTTTCAATAATGTAATAAGAAGACGAAGATTATCAGAACTACATTATGGGAATTTATCAAAGGGACTCATTGCTTTGAATAAGTTTACATATAAAATGTAATTAATGATCAGGATAAATAATAAACTGAATGTGATGAGAAAGATTATAATATATTACAAGTGAAATATTTGGTCATCTAGGATGCAGCTGGACGATCTAGACTTCGCAGATGATCTGACCCTCCTATCGCAATCGCAACAACAAATGCAGGAGAAAACGACCAGATTAGCAACAGCCTCAGCAGCAGTAGGTCTCAACATACACAAAGGGGAAAGCAGGATTCTCCGATACAACACAGAATGCACCAATCCAATCACAATTGACGGAGAAGATTTGGAAGATGTAAAAACATTTACATATTTGGGCAGTATCATTTATGAACATGGTGGATCTGATGCATATGTGAAGGCGCGGATCGGCAAAGCAAGAGCAACATATTTACAACTGAACAACATCTGGAACTCAAAGCAACTGTCAACCAACACCAAGGTTAGGATTTTCAATACAAATGTCAAAACAGTTCTACTGTCTACTGGGGCAGAAACCTGGAGAACTACGAAAGCCATCATCCAGAAAATACAGGTGTTTATTAACAGTTGTCTGCGCAAAATACTTCAGATCCATTGGCCGGACACTATTAGCAACAACGTACTGTGGGAGAGAACAAACCCGATTCCAGTGGAGGAAGAAATTAGGAAGAAGTGCTGGAAGTGGATAGGACATACATTGAGGAAAGTGCCCAACTGTGTCACAAGGCAAACTTTAACATGGAATCCTCAAGGCCATTGGGGATGAAGAGGAAGACCAAAGAAATGGAGACAGACATGAGAAAAATGAACAAGAATTGGATGGAACTAGAAAAAAAGGCGGAGGACAGAGTGGGTTGGAGAATGCTGGTCATCGGTCTATGCTCCACTGGGAGTAAGTAAGTAAGAATTAGAAAACAGGGATATGAGCTAAATAAATTTCTCAAAACCCTGGCAAACATAATAATAAAAATTAAATCATCTTGAATGAGATAATCTTAATCCAGGAAAAATAGGAAGAAAGGTTGTACGTACATTCATCGAATCATGTCATCATATCATCAAAATAACTTAACTGATTGGGCTCGAAGTTGGTCATGATAAAAGAAGCCGTTGAACAAATTTCTTATGGACTCAAATCTTCGGCGTTTCTCCAAATAGATATTGATCGAGGTGTTCGAAAGATTCCTAGTCTAACGGATTTAAGCAGATATCTATTTGCACGACATTATTCCGTAAATGATTGTTCCATGTTATCTATATGACTCGTCTGTACCAGATGAGCTAGGTGCATGCGAGCATCAAAATACATATTGCTCGAACCCCTGCCAATATAATTTGCTCCACAATAGCAGTTGAATCGATAGATACAGAAAGAGATGGCTAGTCTAGGTAAGTTATCTTTCATTGCACATTAGTCATCTCAACATTAACAATTTCATTCTATTTAACAAACAATCCTAAGTTCACATTCGATAATCTTAAACGAAGCATTTGCATTAACCTGGTCAATTTTTGGATTATTAATGCGGATATATAATTGTAGAACCTGGTTAGAATTTACTCAATAAAGAATTCCTCCTACATATATCTGTGTTCTCTAAAGTTTCGAAATGCCTTCCAGCTTACTGATATAAATAATTTTATGTACAATGCATCGAGCCATGTAGTTTACCAATCAACTTCAATTAGAAATTGAACTAAATAACTTCAAGATGTTTTTGGAGTTTTAACAGAAGTCATGACTGGTGGTGCCCAGATATATAATGACTTTTATTCCTTCTCCTTATATTATCTTATATAATTCTGCAAGTAGTTGAATAATAAATAAGATGAAATCCACTATTTTCTTTTCTATGCATAACATTGACAAATTCAATCTTAGCTTATATATACGTACGTTATATTGTCAATCGTAGTACAACAGTTAAATATTTTTAATTATAAAGCCCATGGAGACACTGTGAATGATATCCTCATTGGTCAGGGCATTTGACTTTCAGTCAATACCCTGTATCTTCAAACTTTCTTTCACTTACAATAGTTTGGATAATCGGTCAGTGTCACTAGCTCTCACAATTAAAATATGATTAGAAATAAAGTACAAAAATCCATACATGATAAGTGACTTGAGATTACAGGAACGAAAACATTTATTTATTTAAATATTCTATGTTTTGAATAATTCATAAAAACGTTTTTCAATAAGATACTTGATTCAATATATGATCTCGTTTTTTTCTTGAGGTTGTGAATCTTCATCTACTGAGATCGTTGGGCTACGTGTTGCGTATGCCTGAACACCGATTACCATGACGTGCAATGCTAACCGGTGTTCGGGATGGTTGGAAGAAAGTTAGGGGCGGACAAACCAAATCGTGGCACCAGTGCTTGAAGTCACTAACTTCTAGTCTGAGCCATGTTAGGAGATGCAGACTACTTGGTTAGGGTCCGCGTGACAATCGTAACCAATGGTTGGAGACTCTTGGTGACATGACTCTGAATTGATCACAATGGCGTCGGTCTATATACTCTCTGCCTTCCCTTTAAGAGATTAAAATCGTTTTATATCTTTCTCTCTACCAACTAATTCTTTCTTCCTGTAATATATCCTTGTATACAATCTTTATTTTATAAATTACCACCTCTGAATTAACAACATTTATTAATCGGTTGTCCATATTGTTGTGTTATTGAGGTATGGCAACTTGGACTGATGTATATATGTGCCTGATCCTACTTTGTAGCTGTCTGACTGACTCATATAAAAACATTTAAACACCGAATTATCATTCATTAATAACTCAATCTTACACACATAGACAATTCGTTTTCAGTCATTTATTTTCATCTCGTGAAGTTTTCACATGATTTGTATTTAATTGACTAAAATCAACATCTAAATATGATTGAATTAACCAAAGTATAGATTTGATTTGATTTGATTGTTAAAACGCTATATCTTTCTTTGATGATTTTGATATTGATGATTCTAACCTGAAGAAGTCCAGACAAGTTAGCTGGATGCGAAACGTTGACATTGTTATTTTTGAATTTCAATCACTGAGATTATTTCAAATAGAATTTTCACACACATAGAATAACTTCTCTCTATACTCGGCGCCTAATTTCTGTCATACTATTCGTTCTCATCTTGACGATTATTTGTATAAATGATCTAGTTTTATTTTTCTTTTGTTTAAAAGTTCAGATAATTGATAATTGATAATTCAATAGTATTACATTTCATGAACACTATTTGACTAGTTGATAAGGACGTTTCATTTTTCATTTTGATACTAATTTTTTTGTTAATCAATGTTTTTCTCAACATTTATAAACATTGAATATTGAATATTATTTAATAATGATTATAACAAACAAAACAAAACAAAAAACAATTAATTGAACTTCGACTATGTCCATTAAAGTGTTTAACAAAAAGAAAAAAAGAAAAGAGAAAAGAGAAAAAAAGAGATAATGCAAAATAAAAACTCAATTTGTTTATATTCTGTGTGTTGCATTTTGTTGTTGTTCTTGTTGTTTACTGAATGTTGAAATTATGTGAGTGAAATGAAAGAAAAGAAAAGAAAGAAAAACTGATTTTTACTAAATGTTTAATGAAATAAGAAAAATAGTCTTCAATTTTTCTTTTCTTTCTTATTCTGTTGAAGTGGAATAATTTTCTCTTGGTTTTTTAGAGATTGAATAGTTATATCTAACTAACTATCCACACATCTATCTACCTATCCACACATCAATCTATCTATCTGTCTATCATCTTTTACTCAGAAATTGTCTTATAGTTTTTATTACATTTCATTGTGTTAAATATTTTATTCTTGATGAATAAGTACTGGATACCTGCTGAGGGTATTCATTCATTCATTCATTCATACAAACATCTTATTTCAATATATAAGTGTATATTTGTTGATTTGTCTTAAGAAAAAAAAGATACATTATTTACAGTTCAATTGTTTCATTTAACAAGCAATAGTTTGAACTATTATGGACTTTTTTTGTTGTTGTTGGCATTTTGAGATGAATAACTAATTACTGATTAACTCTTAATAAGAGTTTATTACATTATTTGGCTATAGATTAATGAGATTATATATAGTAATGTTGTGTTTGTTTGATGTTCAAATAATTGGCATAAATCACAATTGATTGATCACTGGGTGGTGATCAATGTCATGCGTGTCTAGTCCTTATTTAGTGCAGATCGAATCCGCCAGGGAGCACCAGTTCCCTCAAGATTACAGGTACATCTTACTGACGAATGCCAAGTAGCACGAAACCCGGGTCCAGGGTTTCCTGTCGACTACCTCCAACCACCATCTCATCTCAATTGGCATAAATCCATGCTTGATCTAAGTTTCATGCTAGTTCATATTCAATAAAAAATAAGATGACACTGATCATTATTTTCAGGTTAAATTATTCATTTACTCGATATTCTATAAAATTTCTATATTTAGTTAATTTACATTTAAATGATATAGCAGATTGAAATAATTTCTTGTTTAATTTTGTTAATTAAATTTGCCCGAACTTTCAGCAAGTTGGTGATTTATTTTTTCATAATTATTTTTTTTGGTTTCATATTTTTTTGTTAAGCTGAATCACTTGTTCGACCTCGAGTTGATCGTACTGCTAGTCCACCATCTGCTACACTTTATTGGTCTGAAGCGCGAAGACTTGCTTCGTTTCCAAATGCTCGTTTACCAGATTCCAATAGTTTACCGGCTATAGACAGATATGATTTTCCTGCTCCACCTTCACCAGCTGTTGTTATGATTGATAAACGTAAGTAAATTGTACCATGTGAATAAAACTGATCAGTCAATTTTATAATGTATGAAATTGTAGTACGTTATCATTGTTATAGTATTTATAATCACTTTACTAGAAACTATTCATTTCATCAACTTTCAGGTCGTGAGAAACGTATGACTGGTGTACAGTCAGTTGGTGTAGATAGCAGAAATGGTACTCTAAGGAATGGAACAATGACATCAGTCGATACAGACTGGACTGATCGGGATCCTGTATTGAATGCTAAATTGGATCGAATTGATGCTGAGATTGAGACATTGAAACGATTAGGTGAAAGTTCCGGTATTACAGCGGTGAGCATGTATTTCTGTTTAAAATATTTATTCGCTTTGTAAAAAAATACTTTTACACCGATGATGAACTACATTGTGCCCAAATGTATTTTCCGTAAAACTTACCAGTGAATGTTGTAACAGTATAAGCGCCACGAAAAATGAATTTGTGAGTCAAATGTTTGATCTCATTACCAAAAAAAAGTTGTCGTTATAAATTTATGAACTTAGACAATAAGCTGTTGATAGTTGTTTGCTGTTTTCGTCTTAAGTATAGTTAGAAGCCTTATGAATGTTGAACGGAAGTGAGTTCTTCTGATTTCTCCTGATATGACGAATACCTTATTTTTGTTTTTGTTATGTCCCGACAAGAATAATGAATGGTAACTTTTAGGCTCTATTGATGGACAAATACTAAACGTATATTTTTATTGTTTAATTGTTAATTAACTAAACCATTCATATTCATGTCCCTCTAATCATAAGCTTTATTTTGATTTATGAACTACTATTATACGATTTACCATTCTTGAATTATTCCCTGTCTATTAATCACTACCTCCCTCATTCACGGCCACATCTGGCTTATTCTTGTACAAATGTTGTTTCATATTTTGTTGGTACGTTGTGGTCTGTTTGATTGGTTTATAAACTCAGTATGTTTAAAATATAAGGATTCATATTGCAGAGGCTGAGACTGGTGTTCTCGAGTTAACTGGCTGGGCTAGGCGGAAAGCAGGACCAATCAGAGCTCTAGGCTGCTCGCACGTGTTTTACGCGTCCTTGGTCCGATCGATAATTCGCTGCTTCTGATTGACGGCTTTGGACCATAACAGTTTTCCCTTAAATTTTTGTTAAACAACAGTAACGAAGATTGTTCAGTGAAATGAATTCATTTCACTTCGTGTACTCGAAATCATCCATATACCCACTAATTTGTACAAATAAATGAAATACTGTAATTTTATATGCAACATGTAAACATTTTATTTATTTATGCAAACCAGTGCGTATGTAGATGATTTAGAGTTAATGAGACGGAATTAACTTTATTTTATATTGCTCGTTATTCTCTATTTACAAACGTTTATCAAAGGAACGAAGTGCAAGAAATACGTTGAATTTGACTGGTTGTTAATAACGAGATAAAACATATTTATGGTCATTTCATCACTTACATTTTGGTAAAATTAAATCTTGCTCAGTATATCAAGTCCCCGATAATGTACTTAAGCTTGGGCTAACTTTTTTGTATGGAGAACATGTTACACTATTCAGTTGCTCGAACTACTGAAAGTGAATATGGATTGAAGGTTGAAACCTTAGTGATTGAATAGTAAAAGCTATCCAATGGATCACCTCTTCACTCTTTCATTTATTGTTCAAATAGTTTCATTATATTATTGGATATTTTCTAAATAATGATTTTATTTATAAAATTCTCTCATGGTTTAATGAATGTTTCAATATTCATTATCTATGCAGTTTGAAATGTTATGTACTGTTTTGAATCAATTATTTAAGTCAATATATGATACCAGCCCCCAAATGCCCTGGTACGGCCGAGACTAGGGAGAGTCCGCTCTCCCTCTCGAAACGCTCTCACATGGCCACGCGTATACAGCCTCTGCCACGGAAGTCCTACTCACTGCCTTCTTGTGGTGGGGGTGTTGTTTACGAAAATGAGAGGACGAAAGGCGAATGTCCGGTGCTTTAATCGGATTCCAAACCAATGGTGCTCCAGTATCCTGCGAGAACAAATAGTGTATGAACCAATCGTTGGTCACCGGCTACCATGGGACTGTATCTCCTTACGATGCTCCACTGCCTTGTGGATCAGACCTTCAGGTCGAAGGCTCGAGGAGTGGCCCCCTAGGCGAACCACCTGCTTCGGTTTGGGTGCGTGGGCAGTATCACAGCCGTCACACATATCGAATGAGAGTCGTGTGGCGCATATGTATTTGGTGCTTCCTTGTGCCAATATTTATGTGTTAAACTAACTAAATAAATAAATATATGATGCCAACTATCATGGTATAATTCTTCTCAATTAAAACAAATAATGGTGAAACTTCACATTCTTTCTTCATGACACAATAGTTATGTTGTGTTGATGTTACAAATTAAATGTTTCGTTAACTCTTAGTTTAGGTAATGTAACTTGTTTATAATTTTAATGATGGTTTTTTATTAGAGAAAAAAAACGATACATTTTGAAATCATTTTATATTAATGCTGTGTTAGTAGTGTAGTCATTTGTTTTCATTATGTAATCCATTTTTAGTATTTTACAAGTAATGACTTTTAAGCAAAACTAGTACTTACTTACTTACTTACTTACGCCTGTTACTCCTAATGGAGCATAGGCCGCCGACCAGCATTCTCCAGTACACAAAAATAGTAATCTAACTTAAATGAAAATGAAGAAAACGATAGTCAATGTTAAATTATAGTTCAATTTTTCATGATGATATTACACGACAACAATAATATTGTTTACTTGTCTGAAAAGTGTTTGTGTATTGAATAGATATGTGTATATATGTATTGCTCATTTTAATGAACTCATTTTTCTGTCTTTACTGAAATAATGTGGTTTACTTATTTTTTTTATTGTCTCTGAAAGGCTCTTATTCAAGAATTGGAAGCCAGTAAATTACATGTTCATGAAACAGATTTAGATCCAATTTCTGCTTCACGATCACCGAATGCAAATGTAGAACCTGGTTACAAAACACGATATAGACGGCATGGATATACATGTAAGTTTGTTTTCCTTATACATTATTTACTTACTTACTTAATTACGCCTGTTACTCCCAATGGAGCATAGGCCACTGACCAGCGTTCTCCATTCTACTCTGTCCTTGGCCCTCTTTTATAATTCTATCCAATTCTTCTCATGTCTGTCTCCATTTCTCAGCGTAATGTGTTCTTTGGTCTTCCTCTTTTCCTTTGGCCTTGAGGATTCCATGTGAAAGTTTGCCTTGTGACACAGTTGGGTACTTTCCTCAATGTATGTCCTATCCACTTCCAGCACTTCTTCCTAATTTCTTCCTCCACTGGAATCTGGTTTGTTCTCTCCCACAGTACGTTGTTGCTAATAGTGTAAGGCCAACGGATCTGAAGTATTTTGCGCAGACAACTGTTAATAAACACCTGTATTTTCTGGATGATGGCTTTCGTAGTTCTCCAGGTTTCTGCTCCATACAGTAGAACTGTTTTGACATTTGTATTGAAAATTCTGACCTTGGTGTTGGTTGACAGTTGCTTTAAGTTCCAGATGTTCTTCCGTTGTAAATATGCTGCTCTTGCCCAGATATGTAAATGTTTTTACATCTTCCAAATCTTCTCCGTCAATTGTGATTGGATTAGTGCATACTGTGTTGTAACGGGGAATCTTACTTTTCCCCTTGTGTATATTGAGACCTACATCTGCTGAGACTGCTGCTACACTGATCTTCTTCATCCTATCGCGGGACTCCTCAGCAGTGTGCATCCACGACCCCGCCCCGCGAGATTCGAACCTAGGACTTATCAATCTCGCACGCTAGCGCTTAGCCACTAGACCACTGAGCCGACATCCAACGGTATCCAACATCATTATGACATACAAAACATATTACACTATATGTGTATCTAATATTGGAATGAATAAATTTATAACAAATACACACAAAATTGTTTAATGCCGGTGTATTTCTTCATCGATCATCTGTTTTCAAGAAATATCAACCCCCAAGTTACAAACAAACATTGTATTGTGTATAAATTTTTTTCATCAATAATTTGGTTCATTCCATTCTTTACTTAAGTTAATATTATGCAGTAAAGTAAATTATTTCATATAGTCAAATAATTACAGTCAGACAAATTCAATGACCTAAATGTTTAACATAAATAGGTTAATCAGTTATTAAGCTATCTGTCTGTTAACTGTTTTCACAACCCACGGCAACGATACAGCCTTACAAATTCCTTTTATCCCATATATAATTTCTTTTTAAATATAGGTCATTTTTGAAGCAGCTAAGCTTATCATATATAAAAACCTTATAAAACTGTTTTATAAATATATATAACAGCGGGATCCAGAACGTGCTACTCATTCGGTTAGAGACTCGTCAATCGAATGAACTTGCGTTTCAGTGCTGATCTTTACTCTGAGATTTAAAACCAGTCCACTTTACTTCAAATGCTAACGCATTATTCACCGAGCTACTGAGTCTTGATAACCGGTGACTTATGCATCGGGCATGAATTATATTTGTAAGGATTTGTATTTTACCGTGGAACGAAACATATATTCTGAATTTCACTAGTAACCGCAAACCAAATATACTAAAAAACCTTTGGCCAATGGCTTTATCGAGCCAATCAATTCAGGATGAAAGTATGCCGACAGAGATTGATCAATTGTAATAATTATCGTCAACAATTGAAAAATACAATAACTTACAAATAAACAACTTTCAAGTTATCTCCTAAATATACTGAATTTTTTCCTAGAGTTGCTTCTTTGTATGCCTTTCACTTTCTGTCTAAAATAAAATCAATTTATTGGAATTTATATCTTAAAATGCTCTTTTGATTTTCTATGTTTTCTCATGCAGCTCCATCACGTGATACTAGGAGAGACCGTCGAAGTGGTCATAATTTATCCTATCGATTGGAATATTCCAGTACCGGTGGACGTTCAGGAACTATACCGAGTTTCTCATCAAGTAAAAATATAAATTTTTAATTGACATTTTTACCTGGATCATATTATTTTAAGCATTATCTATTAACTGAACTGTGAATTTACGTACTTTTTTGTAGGCTTATTTTTCTGGGATTCGTTGAGAGTGTCTTATCACTGGTGTCTAGATTATTTCCTTCTATTTAAATCAAAATACTTTTTTCCTGTTTACTTAGAAATGTTGAATTACATTACATTTTAATTACTCTTATCTATAAAAGATATTAAGTTCTTTCTGAATGTCTAAATCTCTATAGACTAACATAATATCTCATATAAATACTTACTTACTTTTGCCAACTTGCGTCATTTATGGCGTAGGCGAGATATCCGTCTATCAACCAAAGGACGTGTTTACTGCGCAGCAGTTCGTTCCGTCCTACTTTATGGCAGTGAAACATGGTCGGTAAGAGTAGAGGATATCCGTAGGTTACTAGTATTTGATCATAGGTGTCTTCGAAATATTGCTCGTATATCCTGGGACTATCGAGTAAGTAATGCAGTTGTTAGGGAACGGGTACTAGGTAAGGATGGCAAATCAATTGATGACGTAGTGAAACTTCATCAGTTGAGGTGGCTGGGACACGTGTTACGTATGCCCAACGACCGACTGCCTCGACGTGCAATGTTCAGTGGTATAGGAGTAGGTTGGAAGAAAGCTAGGGGCGGCCAAACCAAAACATGGCACAAGTCCATGAAGTCACTGACAAGTGGACTGAGTCATGTTGGTAGGTGTAGACTACCTGGTTGGGGACCGCGAGATGATAGCAACCGATGGTTAGAGACCCTGAATGACATGGCTCAAAATCGTTTGTAATGGCGCAGATGCATCCACTTTTTGTGTTCTCCCAAATTCTAATCTTCTGAATTCTTCATGTCCCTTTTTTCCTCTTTCCAAATTTATTTCACTGGATTATACTCTTTAAATAACATCTCCAAACCCTAATCTTCCCGATTACTGCTTATACTCTTATTACATCTACCACTACGGGATTTGAATCGACAAGTGCATCTCTGTGCTAATGTGGTGTGGCAACTCGAACTGATGTACGTACGTACTAAGTTCTACGTTGTTACTGACTGACTGACTGACTCCTCGTGAAGGAGCATAGGCCACTCACCAGGATTCTCCATCCAACCTTGTCCCGGGCAATCCTTTCCAGTTCCTATTGATCCTTTTCATATCTGCTTCTATTTCCCGACGTAATGTGTTCTTTAGCCTTCCTTTTCTCCTCTCCCATTCAGGATTCCAAGTTAGGGCTTGCCTCATGATGCAGTTTGGCGATTTGCGTAATATATATCCTATCCATTTCCATCGTCATTTCCTAATTTCTTCTTCAGCTGGATGCTGGTTTGTTCTCTCCCACAGTAGGCTGTTACTGATGATATCTCATATAAACAGTCATTCCATAAAAAAGATGAGTTTAGATTAACGATGCAAATTATTACAAGTTAGGGATTATATGAAACGTGAACTCATTCACATGCATTTCAATATAGAGTTTCCTTAATTATAAGAGGTTTCTAATAGTGAACAGTAATAAAACTTAGAATATGTATTGAATTCTGTGAATAATTTGTTAGTTTAATGTATTAATCATATAAAATGTATATTCTTTACTGCCCCCCCTTACTTTTTATTCATTTGTTGCTATTTATTTATGTATTGCGTCATTACTCCAACCCTTTTAAATTACATCATACATAACTGACTGATTGCAATTCATATTTTCTTTATTATCCATTAATCTATTTTTTATGAGTTCCAATCACTATTTCAATGTTCTGGAACTTTCCCTCTCAAACTCTATTTATTCGAAACAAAATCTCTATGGGAATCTTTGCTACATCATGATACACATATTATCCATCCATTAATCACCCTCTTCTCTTATGTAATAAGTATGTCAATATCTGTAATAACGCTGACTTTCAAATATTTTAAGTAGTAAGTAGTTGATCAGAACTTAATGGAATAAAATGAATCCATTTATTATTCTGCATCAATCTTTGTTCTTGTTCTCTTTAAGATAATAAAGGGAACTATGTGTATGAAAATTCTTTAAACTATTGAATGAATGAGACCATTCAAAATAGAACTGAATACAAATTGACATAAATTAGATATCAGAATGAGTTTTGTGGAGATTTTAGTAAATTTCACAGGTTGAAATCATGAGTCAGTTGAAGCTAGACCACCATTGAAAACCTGGAAGCACTGGACGGCCGTTTCGTCCTAGTATGGGACTCCTCATGATTTCAACCTGTGAAATTTACTAAAATCTCCACAAAACTCATTCTGATAATAATCAACTGCTCACTAGTGACTGACTTCAGGAGAACCTTCTGGAGTTCTAGTGAGAAGCCGTCACCAGTGGAGTTCAACCAGGTCTGTTGTGAGATATCAGCTCACTGAAGACATTGGTGTTCGATGGCGCAACTTCGTGGATTGGTTGAAGTTAGACATTAACACCGTTGGATGCCGGCTCAGTGGTCTAATGGTTAAGTGCTCGCGCGCGAAAGCAGTAGGTCCTGGGTTCGAATCCCGCAGGGAGCGGGTTCGTGGATGCGCACTGCTGAGGAGTCCCATACTAGGACGAAACGGCCGTCCAGTGCTTCCAGGTTTTCAATGGTGGTCTAGCTTCAACTGACTCATGATTTCAACCTGTGAAATGAATTAGATAATCATACGAGAATTTATCAGTTATTACGTGTAAATAAACTAATTTCGGTCAATTGTAATAATAATAATAATAATACGTAGTGGAAGTGTATACAATGTATTACATCAGAATAATTCAAAGTTTGTTACATTTATCCACAGTGTTATGTATTAACAAACTTACACTAATGAATCGTCATCTGTTTGATTAAATGGTACATTTTCAAGAGTTTTTTTTGTGACAATTTGAATAACAATAGAATCGTTGCCAAACATTAAATAAAATAGAATACCGAAAACTTATTATGAATGGTTTTTAGTGTTTCTTTGTGACGTAATTTTATAACCATTGGTGTTTGGGCCCAGACTTATAATCATGTAAAGCCCCCATACTGTATTTGAACTGTTCCGTATCTTTATGAAGATTTAGTGTCATCATCATTTGGTGATGGGTTTTTTGTGTGTTCAATTCAGCTCTGCCTATTTGGATTCTTAATCACACATTCCCTCTTCAGCTAAACATTCACCATTAGTGGTTTTGTGTAATCAATCACACATAGATTGTGTTCCTTGTATTTTCAAAAAATACTTATCAATTTAGCATAAAATTAATATCGCAATCTTTGGAATTTTTAATTCCATTCCATTAAAAACTGTCTCTATCTATTTATATATATTTATGTTTGTCCACACCATCATCATGTTCTAGGATACGATCATGAGTATGCAGTCAGACAACATGGTCAGTACATGAGATCAACTTATTCAGGTAGTCTGATTCATTATAATTTTGAAATTATTACTCATTGTATACTGTAATAAATGGCATGTGGTTCTGTCAACACAAATTTGCACTTCATTTAATTTTCTTTTTTTTCTTTTTGTTTTGCATTATTCCCAATAAATATTTCTGTTCATTTTTACATGAATATAAGTTATATTATTGAATACTTTTAATGGATTTCAATCTAGTTTAAGAAATGAGTGAATTTTGAACAGTTGTTACTATGGAGATGCTATTAATGGTAAAAAAAAACAAAACAATAACACTACTATTAATTGGGATGTGAATGTTTCCTTTATTTTGTTTCAACTTCATCCTTTTTGTTCACAGCGGTTGTTAAAGTTGCGTAACTAAAATAAAATTACAATAATAGAAAGATTTTGACTTTGTTGAGGGAACAGTCTTTGGATAACTTGGAATAATCCTAAATATGGCTTCGTTTTTACACCCATATTATATACATGCTTTCGTCATGGAAAATCTGGTAGCAATTAACGTTTTTTTGTTGTTGCTTATAAACGATTACTTCGTTATTGTGGAAGGTAATAAGTACATCATTTGAAGGAATAGCAAATTAGTTGGTCAAGTATTTGGATTTCTGTGTATAAAGCAATTAATCACTTTGTTTTATGCAAATGACAATCCCCTAATCGGAGTTACGTTGCTTACTTCTCGGTCACATAAAGCTTTAAATAATTGGACTTTTGATTAGCTTCTTCAAAATGAACATCTACATGACTTCTACTTAAAACTTTGTTTGACTTCTGATCTGCATTTTATACTATTTTAATGTTTGTACATGTTGTAGGCAAATTTTGTTCTATTTCATACTGTCGCATTGTCTTCTTCTCACTAGGTTTGTTAGTTCCTAACGCTTTGCATGAGAACTATATGTTCCGTTATTTCTGAATATATGAATGTGAATGGATTTTGGTTAATCCTCATTATGTTATTCGATTACATTTGTTTACGTTTTCCATTGTAAACATACATACAAACACGTTTACTAAACTCCAACATTTCTTTCAAGGGTTTATGTTGGTAACAGACAGCTTATAGTGACGTTAGTAAATTCACTAACCAGTTACATAGTTTATAATAGAATAATAATTATGTGTTGGTAACGCATAAGTGTAGAATTCCTAAGAGATGAATATACGAGGTTTGTTTAGTGAAGGCCACAATATCATATGAAGAGAATACAATTATTAGTGAAGTAAAAATGACTCAAAAGTCACATACTGTCTGAGTTATTCAAGTCTATTCTAAAGTTAGGATAAACCACGTCGGTGTGTAAAGTTTTCATTAGTCATTTAATATGAAGAAACAACTGATAGTGAGTGATTTAAACTGTTGTACTGATTCGGAAAATTACGATTATAATCTTAACTACTACTTATTTACTTAATTTACATGGAGTTTGGTGTAACTGGGTGATATGATGAAAAGGCAATTTTCGATTGATTTACTCATTATGAGTTTTGTTCTAGATTAATTCCGTTTTGATTCAATGTAATGATTACTCAATGTAGTGTTTGTTTTCTCGAATGATATTTTATTCTGTTATAATATACGATATTCTTGTATTCCATTGACATGAACTATACTTAGTCTGTGATTTGTTATATATGTGATTACATTCTAGTTATTAATCAAAATGGATGTACAATCAATATATAAATGAGTGTAATTTAGACTAGAATCGTCGTCGTCGTGTTTTGGGGTTAATAAATCATCACTTATACCAGTCTTTGTGTTCTTACTTTCGCGTCGTGGGAGTTGCAGAGGTCCCTCGTTTCGACATAAGCTTTTCCGACATAACAATCAGTGACGACCAGATACAAAAAGCAGCATTAAAAGAGCCTAGACAATAAGCATTCAAACGATAGGTTTTAACAGTGAGCAACACAATAGTGTTTATACCATAAAATATAAACTCTATGTGTGGTCTGGAACATCTGTCAGCCACCCAAAAAATACTTGGTTTTCTTTAGGAGTTACGTTCTGTATCCACAGTTTTTATTAAGAGCCAGGTATTCATTTTCCTCTTCACGTTCGTAAAAAATGCCTTTCTATGTGAAGGCAAAGATGGGTGTTATTAGGTTGTACCTTTCCCCTTGCTTAGTCGTTAAGTGTCTGATACTTGAATCAGTCAATTAATGTCCTTCTACTTTCAGAGAATAGGCATACTTTAAGCTCCCTAGTTGAAGGCATACTCAGTGATATCAATTCAGCTTATTGATCACGAAATTCGCCAGAAGTGTTTTTTATAGATCAGTGAATTACGTCAGATTTTCGGATTACAGCTGACTGCTGTTGAATAGGTCATTGCTTGTAGCGAAATGTTAGTATTACGTCTATGCTGTAAATATTTTATGACAAATTCTATATGTATGTGATTACTTAAAGAATTATATCTTAACAAAGTCGTTTCATTAAATTGTTATCAGATAATTGATAAAGATCTAATTATTAAGTAAACTGACTAATTTCATTTTTACTAATACTGAATGACAACTCAAGATGTTAGAGAACATTATGTTTATCCTCCAAATACATTGAAACTGCTGAATGAAAACTAGTTTCATTAGAAATTAGATGAAGTTATCCAGAGATTTCGACTTTTTCATTGCTCGCTAGTGTCCTCCCCTTTAATGGTTGAACAGTTGTTAAAATTTCAAATCAGATCGAATTTATTTCACGTTTTTCGCACAATACACATCATAAATCAAATAGTGATTTATTTGTAAACTCTTCTACATGCATTTCACCTAAGAAATCTAAGATCTAACACTGTTTATCCTAGAAATTATGTACGTAAACACTTGTTCAACGAATTAGTTACATTTCTAGTCGTTTTTAAACTTAGACTGTTGGTATTCGATCTTGAGTATTTTTAATTTTAGAACAATGTTACTCATATAAACCTAAGATTAATTGAAGATTACTAGATAGCAACTATAAATCTGTTTATATTCCGGTTATGCACTTTAATCAGTTATAATGGTTAGGACATATGGTACACATGGTTAATGTTATACTAAGGTTATTTTTTGTTGTTGCTAATTCTTTTCTATATTGTCTAAAAACTAGTTTGTGTAAACAAGAAAGAAAAGGGTTTTAATTTATTTACTTTTATACATCTGTGAATTTTTTTTTTCGCTTATTGGCTGCATTCATATTCACCTTTATTATCTTTATCACATATTTTGAAATTCATTCTCATCTGTCTTGTTATTTCTCCCATAGTTATATCATTGGGTGTTTTTTTAAAACACTATTGCATGTTTACATAGATCGGATAGCTATGAAAGTAATGGGTTCTATATATATTGTATTGTATTTCTTCTTTGTAATGTTTCTACAACACAGTAACTTTGTCAGTTCCTTTTCTGGAGGGTAATTACAAAATGAAAATTACAGTACAATGCAAAACGATGTGTAACTTTGAATATTTTTTTCTGGTTAGCGTTTTTTTTTACCGAGTTAGTTTTCTACGGGATGGGGTCGCCAAACATATGCCCAACCCTCCTCCTTTATCAGGGCTTGGGACCGGCAGTAGCGTCCGGAGGGACTCCAGGCGGAGTTATGTGTAACTTTAGAGCATATAAAATCAAAATTCGACTAAACAAATGTTTTTTTAAAAATTCTGCTAAGGAATATTGTTTCAAGTATGAGTAACTCCTAGATCACTTGCTTAAATCCAACTTAGATATTGTGAGTGGTAGAGTGGAACCATGTTTGAAGTGAGCCTATTGCGCATCGTTCACATTAGTGAACGATCGCTCTACTTGACAAGTTGATTTGAGTTAAAGAAGGAGTTTATTGAATTTAGACTCATATATCTAAAATCTAAAATTATACTTCTCTTTGTGAGACATGAACTTGTTTATGTGCGTACGGCTTTTAGCGCTCACTGCAATACTGTTTTAAAATAGAATGAAAAATCTGTCTTCTTATTTCTAGCTCTCAACAGTTTTTGAACGACGTCAGTTTGTGGCTTTAATTTTCTTTAGATATCTCATATGAATATGAATTTCATTATTCCAATGAATTTATCGGCGGAATTGTTGTTTGACTATGTTTCATGAAAAACCCAGTGTCTACGTTCGTCTACTAAACATACATACAAACCGTAAAGCAAAGATATAGGCAGTCATTTTTACAAACCACAAATATCAGCGTTCAGTAATGTTTTACAATCAACTATACGTTTGTTTACTGTTTATTTAACTAGTAGTAACAGTAATCTCATGATCAAATCTTGATTACTTTCTGAAAGGTAAAGCGTTTTAAGATGGTGGATAAATTCGAACACTTTACTTCTATCTGAAGTTTGTGCTGATGATGTCGTTCAGAAGAACGATGAAAGCTTCACGACTAAACCATCCAGCTCAGAGTACAAAACTTTATCACAAGTAAAACGTTTTAAACAAAGAAATTAACATTAGAGCATATGATCCATATAAAATCACGACTAAATTATCGTAAAAATATTTATTGAACCATGCAATTACCAAAGTTTTTATGATAAATTAAGTTTTCACTAATTCAGTCATTGATTCGGTGTATACTTCCTTCTGTTTCCAAATAAGTATATATTTCACTCTCTTAATTACTTTTATTTGCTAAAACAAACAAAGATATTAGTATTGTTTTTGTAGAATATCAACATGTGCTCACTAGTGACTAGCTTCGTGAGCGAATTCTCGGAGTTCTAGTGAGAAGCCGTGACCAGTGGAGTTAATCCATGTCGGGTAGAGACAGGTATCTACCTCAGTACAATGGAAGTTGGTCGCGCGATTTCGTGGATTGGTTGATGTTAGACACTATCACCATTGGATGCCGGCTCAGTGGTCCAGTAGGTTAAGCGCTTGCGCGCAAGACCGAAGGCCCTGGGTTCGAATCCCGCGAGTGGGATCATGGATGCGCACTGCTGAGAAGTTCCATACTAGGACGAAATGGCCGCCCAGCGCTTCCAGGTTTCCAAAGGTGGTCTAACATCAATCGGTTCATGATTTCAATCAAAAAGTGAATAATCTCCACAACCCCTATACCAGTAATATCTTATGTGTTAAAAATTTAGTCATGTTTAATATTCGTGTGATAGTAAATATGTAGTTAAGTATGTCATTATGCCTACATTTGATAAGTCAAATGACAAAATAGACTACAGAATAGTTTCCTTTATGATTTATAAACTGTTCATAATCAATTTGAAGAGAAATGAATTGGTTATATCATTCTTAAACATTCTATAGAATAGTTGATATATCTGTGTCTAAAGATCAATTGTTTTAATCACTAAGTGACTGTTATTAGATACGAAATATTTTTTTGAATTTACACATTCATCAAGGGGAATATAATTGATCATTTATTAATTTGCTATATTTTAATTAGTAAATTTATTGGTATTTTCTTCCATAAGTCACTGAATTACTGATTTACGAAGATTTTACATTGAACTATTTCACTGTATTTTTTTTATTTTTCACCTTCAATTGTGATTTATTAATGTTTTGTTGTCAAGGTGAACATCTATTCAACCTTGAGTCTATGGAGCCAAACTGATTTATTCAATTAAGATTAAAACAGTGTAAAATAGTGTCTCCATTTACCACTATTCTTATTAGGAATTATAATGTATTGTTTATTTTCAGTCTACTAAAATACATTCAGTAAATATACGGTTTATAAAAATACACCTCAACTTTATTGTTTAATGAGTTTATTCCATTTCTATTCAGTCAGTAGCAGGTATACTCATGTTTATTGTTGTCTTCAGTATTATTTATTGATATCTAATTTGTTTTGTAAATGATAGCTCCACGTCCTGGTTACACGTCTGGAATACTTTATGGTCGAGCGGTTAGTTTACCGCGACCATTTATCGGTGTAGAAAACGGTGATACACTATTAGATCAAAGTACATTGTCTGGACATGTTCCAGTTGCAAATTCAGGTATACGTGGATCTTTATCAACAACTTTGAGAACAATCCCATCACGTCATAGTTATCATCCAGGTGGACATTCCAATCATTCAGGTGAAGTTATCAATGGTCCTGATCGTACAGTCACTGTATCGGAATCACTGAATACTAATTTTATCGAAAATGAATCACGTCCAATTGGTTTTCATGATGGATTAGGTTCATGTGAGTAATACTCTTATGAATTATGTTTTTTCCCTTCTTTTAATGATTACTCTTCAATTCCGACTTTATAGTGTACGTCGAAATTCACTTGTTTACCTTGTTTGCCTAACTATCTTTTTTTAGCTCTTACTTTCAGTTCTACATAATTTTCAGTGATGCTTTACTTGACGTTGCTACAAATCATTTGATTGAAATGTAAAACATTGTATATGGAGCTAGTACTCCAAAGGTAGGCGGCCTATTCTCCTCCATGAAGGGCAACAGACGTAATTAAGCAATCTGAAGGATCTGGTTCTCATCCTCTGTCGTGAGGCCGTGTATTCTCACTGCTATAAAGCCCCATATTAGGACGAAGCTGCTATCCAGTCATTATCGATTATCTACGGTTATATGACTGATGTTAGTCCATGAAGTGGAACTATAAAGTTTTACAACCTTCATAAACCCCCATACTAAAATATCACCAATTTGGACAATCTCCATGAACCTCTGAAGTTAATAGAAAACGTTTCTTTGCTCACTGGTTTTACAAAATATAGTTTTATATAAAGTATTTATCGATATACAGATTGTCCTGAAAACCATGTCTCTTGATATTCCCTATTATTCTTTAAATTTATTCAATTCAGCGTGGTAATGTTTTCTCGATAAAATCCTTGTATTTTGTTGTTTGAGTGCATTGATTTAAGTGATAGCTATTGTTTGTATATCTACAAATGGGAAGGAACAAACTCTGTTCAATGTGGTACTTACAATTTCTTAAATACCGTATAAACGGACATATATTTGTGTATCTATGCTTAAAACTTACAAGAATTAGTGGTAATGTGTTTGCTTGTCCAGTTACATTATGTTTTCTGAATAATAATTTGTCATTATAACCAATGTTGATGATGTACATCTATTAATTATTTGACAGTAGTCGTTATTGTACAGTTTCTTTCATACTTAAAAGTAATCTCATTCGTTACACTGTAATATCATCTATAGAAAACCAGTAAATAACCATGACCATTATTATTAAGATCGTTTGATTTAGATACTTTTGAAATACTAACACAATAACAATTAAATAAATTGATCGTAATGAACAACAGTTATTTAACTAACCTTTCTTCACTTCCTCTGGTTTTTAATAAAATGTCCTACATCGTAGCGGTCACTTCCTGGTTCTTGACCGTTTATGTTTGTTGTATAAATAAACTACTTTATTGCAGTTAAGCGTAATTTACATTTTCATAATTCCCGGTTTTCTATTTTTTCTTGTTCACATTCATTATTACAGTGACAACATCAGGTTTATCAATGGATGGTTTTATGGCAGAATCCGGTGATGATATAACTATTACTAGTCCACATAATGGTTATTTTTTAAAATCCAGGACTGTAGCTGGTCTGCCTAGTTCTGTAACAGGTCTTCGACCAGTTGGTTTACCACCACATCATCCTTATCATCATCATCATTACAAAACTAGTAGTTCAGCAATGAGGCGTGGACGCATTAGTACTCCAGCACCAACTAGAAGTGGTAGTGGTATGGGTTATTTAACTGATCCTGATCTACTAGATATTGATGCTTATCCGTCTGTACAAAGTTGGTTAAGGCCTACTGCATCATCATCATCGAAATATGAAAAGTCTTTCAAAGTAAGCGTTGTTTCGTATTGATGAGTTTCAGGGATTTTTAAAAGATGTTTTCACGAAAATTATAATCTATTATTTTTAGACATTAGATGATAAAATAACTTAAAATTGATTTGATTCTTTGAGTAAATGATCTAATCCATATATCTTATGTTTGTATGCTAAAGAATAGTGATATTTCGTATGAAATTTAATAAAGACACATTAATGACAAATTAAATATAACTTATTTGTCGTGCGTACTACTTATATTGATATAAGTAGTATATGACGCGAGTCAGGAATGTAATGTCTGACAGCAGAAGACGGGGGAAGATCAAGAAAGGAAGAGCAGGAGTAGGAAGCAATTAGTATGGAAATGCAAGAACAACGAAGTTTGAGACATTTATTGAATATTTTGCAAATTAAGTATTATAGTATGGTTTTTCTATCTTACCAAGTTACTCAAACATAGTAGTTGAGTTTGTGATCGAACCTGTGATTTTGACAGTAAGTCAACATATCAAACATGGTGTGTACAATGCACTTGTCGTTTTTTTTCAATACAAATAATAACCAATTACCACAATTGATTGATCACTGGGTGAAGACCAATATCATGCGTGTCTAGTCCTTATTGGTGCAGATCGAATGCTATCGACCATAATGCAATGTGGCCACCAGTCTAGGTGACTCGGCATTGCGGGCAATATATATCGAGATTAGATGGTGGTTGGAGGTAGTCGACACGGTGGCCACATTGCAACATGGTTGATAGCAATTGTGATTACATCTCAGTCCTACAGGAGGTCGATCGCAGCTCGGATAGCGTAGTGGTAACGTCTCTGACTGTGAAGCAGGGTGACATGAGATCGAATCCGCCAGGGAGCACCAGTTCCCTTAAGACTACATGTACACCTTGTTGACGAGTGCCAAGTAGCACAAAACTAGGGTCCAGGGTTTCCTGTAGACTACCTCTAACCACCATCTAATCTCAATAACCAATTATCTTGTATTCTACAATCAATCTCATTCTTGCTTTATTCAAGTTATTACACTATTTATTATCTTTAGTACAATGAACATATAAACAAAGACTTTATATTACTGTTAGTTTAAATGCTTTATTTTTATTTCTAATTGTGATTTCTTCTCCTAGTTTTATAACCTCAACAATAAACTACTTTTGAATTACTTCTTTTTTTCTTCTTCACATACTATTTATTGTCAGCTATACATACATCATAAAGTGTTCTCCCTTGTTTTCCTTCGGTGTTCTACATTTAAGTCATTGTGTTTTGTCTCTATGCATATACGCATTTATATCCATCTTGTCTGTATTACTTTCCTTTGTATTATTTTATTGTTAATTAAGCTAAAAATAAATTGACTATATTTCTCATGAGATGAGATATGTTTTTATTTCTTCTCTTTTTTTCACATTATTTTAATGGTCATATACAGTTAAACGGTTGAGCTTCTCAACACTATAACGATATATGTGAACTGTTAATACATATTATTTTTCTACTACAAGTCATTTCACAAAACTTAATTTCGTTATCCATAGTTATATATCACAATCATGAAATTTATATGTTACTCTTTGCAATAATACTAAAATCTCCACAAAATCCCTTCTGATAATAATCATCGTGTGCTCACTAGGGACTGGCTTCATGAGGTATTTTCTTGGAATTCTAGTGAGAGGCAGTAACCAGTAGAGTTCAGGCGGGTCTGTTGTAAGATAAAAACTCACTGAAGACGATGGTGGACGGTGGCTCAGTTTCGTGGATTGGTTGGAGTTAGACATTAACACGGTTGGATGCAGGTCAGCTCAGTGGTCTAGAGGTTATGCATTCGTGCGCAAGACTGAAAGGTCTTGGATTCGAACCTCGTGAGGCGAGATCTTAGATGTGTAGTACTCAGGAGTTCCATACTAGGACGAAACGGCCGTCCAGTGCTTCCAGGTTTTCCATGATGGTCAAGCATCAATTGACTCATGAATCCAACTATAAGAATACTAAGATTGATTATATGTGGAAATTTTCTGACAGTAATTCGCACTACTACCATTTAGTAGTAGTGTTAATAATCGATTGATTTGAGGATTGAATAACTATGAAACTAATACAAGTTTGTACACTCATTGAGCCAAAGTGTTTGTATATTTTTCATCGCTTTACATGTTATTATTTTTACTTATTACCGAAGATAATCGTGGATAATAAGCTTAATAATTACATTCTTTGAATATCCATTTTTTTCTAGATTTGAACGCTTATGTATATTCATTGTTAATAAAATACGCCTTTTTCATGCTTCTAAAAAGTATTTACTTTAGGTCTAATACTTTGTAACATAAAACTGGATAAATAACAAATGATTGTATGGTAAATTTGTCAAATCAACGATTATCTGTAGCAGAACTTTGTACATGTTTTTTAAAATATTTTACATAGCTGGAACAACGTATGATTATCTGAGCCACTTTTTCCTCCATAGTCTTGATATCAGTTCGGTTGTCAAAAGCTGAGGGAATAGACGTGTTGATGAAAAGTGTCCTACTCTACGTTTTCAAAATATTGGACCTGCTTGGCAACTCATTATGTTTAGTCATTGTTGTCAGGGATCGGCTGCATCCAGTGGGAGCACTAAGTTAGTAACTCTGTGGTTCATCTGTGCGTTCTGACGTAGTAATGATAATTCAATTGATGTTACCATGTTAAAATACGGACTTATGTAGTTTATACATGTTTACGAATATCGCTCCAATGTCCTCTACATAATGCATTAGTTGCTGACCCTGGGACTTTAAATATAATACTTGGTAACATAAAACTAGATAAATAACAAATTTTTGTCAGGTAAATCTATCATATCTGGATGGTAAAACCGATAAGCTGGTCAGTTTATAGCATGAAACCGGGAAATGCAAGCTAAGTTTATAGGACCAGTAGTAACTAAATATTCACGATGTTCTAGTTTGAGCCCTGTGTTAACTATTTTCTTAAATCAAACTTATCTTTTACTCCATACTGTTATAGTTTCTATGTTCATAGATTATATGATTTTTTCCCCCCTATTTATAGTAATATTATTATTTCACTTAATACAAACTACATTCTTTCGGTATCTTATTACATTGAACTATATTTTTGTGTTGTCAATAAGAAAAAACAAGTAACTTTGTCGTAAATATGTCATCCATCGTTCAACAAAACAATCAAAAATTGTTTATGCCAAATGTTCTTTTTTTTGTATTTTTTTTGTTTATTTATTTAAATTCCGGTAGATTTATCCTTATGAAATGTTAAAATTATCATCAAATCAATTATTGAAAGGGGTGGATCGAACACAGTTAGAGGTAAATTATTTCTTTAAATTGTAGCCTATACAATATGGATAATGTATTCTTCCTATTTATGTTTTTTTATACATTACATAATAATCGTTCATGGATACTGTTGATGATATCGAATGAAGTCAAATAACTGTTTATTGAGAAATGATCAGTAATTAAATGTTGACTATCGTTTATTTATCATGTATCAACATCAGGTCGAATAGGAACTAGTAATCCACGAATTAATATTTGTATATTTGAACTGGAATTCACAGATTGTTATTGATTACAATTGAGTACTGGGATAGTTCTTCATATGAGAAATCTAGTAATATTATTTCATGATAGTTTTTATGTTCAAGATAATCATCAAAACGTTTAAACAAAACTTCTAATTAGAATCAGTTGTTTTACAATTCATAACCTTCGTAAGACAATCATTCAAAAAACAGGAACAACTAAACCATCGTTTCGTGTTATAGTATGGAATCTGTGAATTGTGTATTAATGACTCCACCGTTAAACAAACTCAAGAATTTTAGATCAATACTACAATTGTATAGTCATTCCTGGTTTCCATTAGTTGTCTGACCAAAGTCAATCTGTCATATAAAGTATACAATTTAGCAATTTACACATATCCTCTACACTAACAAAATCAGTTATTTTTCTTCAAGTCTAATTATAATAACTACTAGGTAACTGTTTATAAAAGGACGAGTATACTTCGTTGCGGTTCATTCTGCTTTAATTTATGGCAGCGAAACATGGCCATTAAGAGTAGAAGACACTCGTAAGCTACTAGTATTTGACCACAGATGCCCTAGAAATATTGCTGGCATCTGCTGGGATCACCGGGTAAGTAATAGTGAGGTTCGACGCGGGGTATTACGGAATGATGTTAAATCAGTTGATGAGGTTGTGAATCTTCATCTACTGAGACGGTTGAGCCACGTGTTACGTATGCCTGAACACCGATTACCATGACGTGCAATGCTAACCGGTGTAGGGGATGGTTGGAAGAAAGTTAGGGGCGGACAAGCTAAATCGTGGCACCAGTGCTTGAAGTCACTAACTTCTAGTCTTAGCCATGTTGGGAGATGCAGACTACTTGGTTGGGGTCCGCGTGACTATCGTAATCAATGGTTGGAGACTCTTGGTGACATGACTCAGAATTGATCACAATGGCATATGTGTATACACTCTCTGTCTTAAACTAGAAGATTAAAATCGCTTCATATCTTTCTTTCTATGAAGTAATTCGTTCTTCCTGTATTATATCCTTATTGCAATAGTTCTTTCATATATTACCACCTCTGAGTTAACTACATTTATGAATCCGATGTCCATCTTGTTGTGTTAATGAGGTATGGCAACTTGGACCGATGTTTATATGTGCCTGATCCTACTTTGTAGCTGACTGACTGGCTGAGGAAACTGTTTATCCTTAAACATTTTCACTTATTTATAATAAATTTATATTTTACACTTTTCTTGTTTATATAGTGTTATTTGTCAACGGATGAATTTGAACGTTTATTCAATATGTGTCCTGAAGCATTTCAACGTTTACCTGAATGGAAAAGAAATGATTTAAAAAAGAAATTAGATTTATTATAATCAATTCATTGAAATATAATTGACAAATGTTCCTTAATAAATAAAAAGTCACATTGATGATAAAGATGATAATAATAAGGATAGAATAGATGATTAAAATAATATCCCAAAAAGTAATGAAACTAATTCATTGATTTTATTCAATATTTAAGAATGAATAGAACAAGAACCCCCCCCCTGCTGTCCAAGTTAATTTCTGATTTTATTCCTCTTATCATCATCATCATCTTTATTGAAATAATGTATGAACAAAACTAAGGATTCATTGTTGAAATATATCAACTTGTCGTTTTCTTTTTTTTCTGTGTGTGTTCATTATGTGCACAACATCTTCATGTTTGTCTGTTGCACTTTATTTTTTATTGTATGTATCCATGTAAGAGTCAGTAAGAGTTTGTACGATCATCATCATCATCATCATTGTCACCATGATCACAACCAATATATAAATATAACATTGATAGTAGTTCCAAAATTCAATGATATTGATTCATTTATTCGACTTTTATTTCGCTTTTTTTTATTGTCAAATTGTATTTTATTTCTTTTTTTCTCTTTTTTTTGTAAAATAAAATCTCTTTATTTTTGCAAAAAAAAACTAAATATACAATTTTCTTTTTTCTTTTTTTTCTAAAGCAAACCAACTTTGTTTTTTTTTTTCGTGTTGTATTTTGATTTTCTCAGTTTACTTCTTAGTTCTAAGTATATTCAAGTTTTATTTTTTTGATCCTTGGAAATGATTTATATTCATAATGGGAACATAATGATTATCATTATGAACAGACTGGTAGATATGAATATAACTAAGTATGATTATGTCGAGATTTTTGTTGTTGTTTATTATTCATTGAATACAGTTTGTAATTCGGCTTGAGTAATTTTATATAATCGAGTGTTTATTATGTGTGTACAGTGCATATTATTACTATAATCATTATTATTGCTACTACTATTAATGCTGTGCTTCATCTTAAACCTGGTTTTCATAGGTATTTACACTCAATTATTCACATCGTATGTGCCTCTCTCTTCCTATATATATAACCTGTATTTCGTCCGTTATTAACGGAATGTATCAACGTTAGTTTTATGTTTTATGTTTATTATGATGTTCTTATAAACTTGAACAAGTGAATGAACCTTTTTTTTTGTCCTTCCAAAGATAAATTTGTTTCTTATTCACCCTGTTCTTATCATTTTTCTTTGATAGTTTCACATGATAACAAATTTATATCATATTAAAGTTTGTTCGCTTTTGTACAGCAGTTGTTGTTGAATGTGTTGAGAATACTACTACTTAATACAGATTTTCAATTGAGCAAACATAGATCTTTTTTTTTTCTTTTATTTTGAAAACAAAGATAATGAATTTCATTTCATCTTCTAGGAACTTTGAAAATAAAAAAAAAAGAGAGTAATCAAACAGTGATGCAAATGTATTTCATCATGTTATCTCTTTTCTTTTTCCTGGAAACAAATGTAACTCTTCATTGATATGTCAATTACCGAGACTTATTGCTCAATGTCTTTAACGGTATATATATATTTTACTAGACAAAAAGGTGTATGCATGTCAAAGAGAACAACATTAACATTTCACTTATGTTTGTAATTTATAACGTTTGATGAATTCATATATGCAAGTGTAATAATATATGTATGTGAGAAATAATTCTAGATTGTGTTGTCTTTATTATGTGGTTAACATTGGCTATCAGTTGTTCACAAAGTCTTTCTCTGATATCATTCTTTCTTGCTCTGACTATTTCTCTTGCCTCTTAATTATAAATAAGCTATTTATTTGTGTGTACACATTGCGCACAAAACGATCTCGACTATTCGATTGTATGTGAAAAAGAAACATCTTTCAAGCATAGACATATATATATATATATATATATATATATATATATCTTGAACTAGAAAAGATAATTCCTATACAGTGAAGATAATTCTCAACTTTTTTGTCTTATTAATTTAACTATGTTGGTTTGCTTTATTTAAACCTTCTTAGAATTTCTTTAATAGTCTTTCTTATTTCGTTGTCATTGACGCCTTTTCTTGTTTTTTTTTCTGTCCGTTTCGATGCTGACTACTTACTTATTCATTTTGTATCTCTTAAAGCTTAAGAAAAAAATCAGCTTTCTTTAATGTATGCAAATACTCATTCACACGTATACAATTGCACATTTAGCAAAACTAATGGGTGGATTCAAGTTGATTTGATTTGTGTGTTCTTTTTCCCCCAATCTGTTAGAAGATTGTGCTAAACATACTGTGTTAATGATGTTGATGCATTTTCTTTTCGTTGATTCTTGTTGCGTCTTTCTTTTCTTTCGGCTGAATTTGTTTGTTAATCTCACTTTTGTTTGTTATTGTTGTTGTTGTTGTCTATTTTGATTGTCAAATTATATGAATACTGAAGAAGAAAAGAATAAAATAGAGAAATATAATTATCAAAAAAAAATAGTCAGAGAATAATGAAAAAAAAGAAGTGTGTTTTTCTCTTCTCTTTTTTTATCTAAAGAAGTTTAAATCGAATGCCAAAAAAATGGTTTTTGATTTCTTTATCATTTGCATTCATCACAATTGAAATGTTACTGCAAAACGTTTTAACTCATTTATCATTCATAGACATCGACTTCGAAGTAAGATGATAATTGAAGGTTCACACGATTTTGTTGAAACACGAATAGATCATACTAAATATTAGTAAAAAGAAATATTTGAGATTTCAGGAAAGAATCAATGTTTTTTTAACACAAGTAATCGTTATACCGATGATATTGTCAATTCTGAAAGTAAATAGAAACTAATTTCGGATTTCTAATTGATATGCTATTCGATGAAGCTGTAATCACTTGATAATCTTTACTTGAATCTTCCCATTGTACATCCAGATGACGAGTCCCAAATAGGAAGAAACGTACGTACTGGATTCCATCGCTAGCCACAATCCGTCCTTGCTTAATTGTGAATATATATATTCTTAGAGACAAGTTTCAATTTTTCATGTGATATAGAAATAGTTTTAATGATGATTTCTATTAAATTTATAAAATTAATTACAGCTAGTCGTTTATCATCGATTGGAATTACTGGAAATTGGGAAGTTGTACAAACATAATTCGATTATTATCAATATGGGGATCTGTGGAGATTGTAGTATTTTCACAGTTGAATTCGGTGACCAGCTTCAAGATGGAACTCCTAGAGTTCTAATATGAAGTCATGACCAGTGAAGTCCAATCCGTGTGGGATGTGAGACAGTTATTCACCTCATACAATGGATAAAGGATTGCGCAAGATCATTCATCAATTGAAGTTGGACATGGAGCACCGCTGGATGCCGGCTCAGTGGTCTAGACGTTAGGTGTTCGCTCGCAATACCGAAGGTATTCATCTCATTAGACAAAGCTTTAGAGTTGTATATCTGGGGGGAAAGTGTTCGTGAAAATATATCTGTTAAATAGTGAATTAAATTACAACATGAAACTTGTATAATCATAATACATAATAAACGTTTCAATAACACAATTGAATATATCATGAGAGAAAATTTACTAAGTTGAAAATATATTACTAATGATTGACAAGCAATAAGCTTGTTTTGTTTCTAATCGTGATATTCTAACATTGTTTTCTTTAACAGGAAATGTTGAATAATTTTAAGTTGTCTGATTATGTATTTTAATTTATATGAAAATCATTCATGTGTAAATACAGTGAATGTAACTGACTATATTATCTAAAACAATTGATTGTTCATTGTTCACCTCAGTCTTGGAATTGGAAGAAAACTACATCGACGTTCCGCTACCCTAACTGAATTTGTCATTCACCATGTTGATCTAAATCAAAACTACAATCATCGGAGCAAATAGATTATTTATAAAAAACTATTCATAAGCTCTTTCAGTTGGTATCCTAAGTGTGAAACGAGGCAACAAGCTCAAGTCAGTAACTCAACAACGGGTTTTGTTTAGTGGGTTGGTTTTCTCATTTATGGGGTTTTTGAAACTACCTTTTAATCATCTCTCAAATTTGGCAAACAGGTTACAAGAAAGCTACTTATACTTTACTCCGGTATTCTGAATAACAAAAATATAAAGCATTGTAATGAAAATACAGACAGCCAAGACAATAATGTTATTCCTAAAGATTCCTTATAAATGTAACACAAAAACCAGAAGCGTTTTATGACTATTCGAAACAGTGAATGTTTATCTTCCGTGCTCCACACAAACATAAAAGACTTTATGAAATAAACATACGTTACCTAGCTTCATTGCCTCTGTATGGGCATTCATTTGTTGAACTATTCTTCTAGGATTAACTGATAAAAATACTACTAGGTAAGTTCATCTGTGCACTTCTCAATATCAGCTTCCATAGTTTGGAAAAAACAGCAGAACAATACAATGTTCGATACTTCCACACTTATTTGATACTGAAATTTCGGAGGTTGATTCTTTAGGATAATTGCTGGCCTGCCCTTCTTTATTCAATATCTGGGTAAATGACATCTCAAACGAAATTCTGATATATTATTCTCGAGTTCGAGTAAGCTAGTCTGCCTGAATAATTACTTAATACGTCCAATAAAAGACCTAGGCTAACACGAGTAAACTCTCACCAATATCTTAAAATTATTAAATTACAACTGATATTAGAAAATGTGCCTATACATCTTGTGCTTACTTACTTATGCCTGTTACTCCTCGAGGAGGAGCATAGGCCGCCAAACAGCACTCTCATTCCAATCCTGTCCTGAGCAATCCTTTCCAGCTCCTTCCAGTTGTCAGACAGCCTTTTCATATCTGCTTCTATTTCCCAACGTAATGTGTTCTATGGCCTTCCTCTTTTCCGCTTCCCTTCAGGATTCCAGGTAAGGGCTTGCCTCGTGATGCAGTTTGACGATTTGCGTAATGTATATCCTATCCATTTCCATCGTCTTTTCTTAATTTCTTCTTCAGCTGGATGCTGGATTGTTCTCTCCTACAGTAGGCTGTTTCTGATAGTATCCGGCCAATGGATGTTGAGTATGTTGCGTGGACAACTATTTATTAATACTTGTACTTTCTTGATGGTGGTTGTTGTTGTTCTCCAAGTTTCAGCTCCGTACAGTAGAACTGACTGTGTTGACATTCGTATTGAAGATTCTCACTTTGATATTGGTTGGAAGTTGTTTCTTAGGTATGTGAAGGACTCTACATCTTCCAGAGTTTTGTCACCAAGAGTGATTGGATTGCTGTTCACTGCTTTGAATTTGAGGACCTTGGTTTTCCCCTTGTGTATGTTGATGCCTACTGATGCAGAGACTGCTGTTATACTGGCTGTCTTTATCTGTATTTGTTCATGTGTATGCGATAGGGTGGCTAGGTTATCTGCGAAGTCCAAATCGTCTAATTGATTCTGAGCTGTCCATTGCATGCCGTGTTTTCCCTCAGATTTCGAGGTCTTCATAATCCAGTCAACCACAAAAGGGAAGAGGAAAGAAGAGAGAAGACAGCCTTGTCTGACTCCGGTCCTTACTTGGAATGCATCTGTCAGCTGTCCTCCATGCACGACCTTGCACTGTAGTTGACAGTCTTCTCAGGAACTCCGTGGTGTCAAAGAGGTTTCCATAACTTCGTCCTATCTACGCTGTCAAATGCCTTTTCATAACCAATAAAGTTGACGTACAGTGACGAGTTCCACACAATTGATTGTTTGACGATGATCCGTAGTGTTGCAATTTGATCTGTGCACGACCGATCCTTACGGAATCCAGCTTGTTGATCTCGAAGTTGGGCGTCTACTGCATCTTTCATCCGGTTCAGCAACATTCTGGTGAAGACGTCCTCTGGTACAGACAATAGTGTAATTCCTCTGTAGTTTTTATACTTGCTCAGAGCTTCTTTCTTTAGAATCTTGATGAGGTGTCCTTCTTTCCAGTCCATCGGCACTTGTTCCTCCTCCCATATCTTTTTGAATAGAAGGTAAAGCATGTTTGTAGTTACTTCGATATCAGACTTCAGTGCTTCAGCTGGTATGTTGTCGGGTCTTTCTGCTTCCCCGCTCTTGATTTGTCTGATGGCCATTCTGATTTCTTCCGTAGTTGGTGGATTGACATCTATAGGAAGGTCTATGTGTGCTGCTTCGATGTCCGGTAGATTCATTTGAGCCGGTCTATTCAGGAGTTCCTCGAAGTATTCTACCCATCCGTTCCGCTTTTGTTGAATTTCAGTGATTGGCTTACCTTCTTTGTCTTTGACCGGTCTCTCTGGTTTACTGTATTTCCCTGCTAGTTTCTTCGTTGTATCGTAAAGCTGTTTCATATTTCCTTCTCTTACAGCTTTTTCCGCCGTCGTTGTTAATTCTTCCACGTATTTCTTCTTGTCGGCTCTAATGCTCTTCTTCACTTGCTTGTTTGCTTCTATGTATTTAGTTTGTGCTTGAACTTTCTCTGCTCGTGTTCGGCTGTTGTTAATTACTGTCTTCTTGTTCTTCCTTTCTTTGATCTTGTCCAGAGTTTCTATAGAGATTCATTCCTTATGATGGTGCTTCTTTGATACCTTTCCAGTTGTCCTCCATAGTAGTTTCTTCTTCCTTCAGTAGATCGTGTAAGGCTTGGAACCTGTTGTTGAGAGCTATCTTGAATTCATCGAGTCTGTAAGTATCTCGAAGGAAGGCTGTATTGAACCTTTTTAGTGCTGTTTGTCCAGTTTTCCAGTTTTTCTTTAGCTTCAGCTTTAAATTTGCCACAACTAGGTGGTGATCTGAAGCTATGTCAGCTCCTCTTCTGGTTCTTACATCTTTCACTGTCCTTCGGAATTTTTTGTTGATGCAAATATGATCTATCTGGTTCTCTGTAGTGTGGTCTGGTGAGATCCATGTAGCTTTGTATATAGGTTTGTGTGGAAGTATTTTGCCGCCTATAACCAATTTGTTGAGTGCACATAGATTTCCAAATTTCGTTTATCTCGCCCAGTCAATCCATGTCGTCCCATGATATCTTCATATGCGGTATTGTCTATTCCGACTTTGGCATCTAGATTTTCCATCAGAATGGTGAGGTCCTCTATTGGGCACTTCTCTATGATTGATTGAAGCCTCTCATAGAATTGATCTTTAATGTCGTCGTTGCTATCATTGGTGGGTGCATAACATTGGATAATATTCATTGCGATCTCTTCCTTCTTTATTTTCAATGATGCTTTGATGATTCTGGATCCGTGATATTCCTATCCTACAAGTGCATTTCGTGCTACTTTGGACAGCATTAGAGAGACTCTATGAGTATGTGGAGCATTTTCCTCTTCGTGACCGGAGTATAAGAGCATCTCTCCCGTATTTAGCCTTAGTTGTCCAGCTTGGGTCCAATGGGTTTCGCTGATTCCCAGTACTGTCATGTTGTATCTCCTCATTTCCGTTGCTATTTGACTGGTCTTCCCGGTCTCCCACATTGTTCGAACGTTCCATGTACCTATAAAAATTTTTGCTCTGGTTGTTAGAAGGGGCATCGGCTTCGTGGCTTCTGAAGGAACTCGGCTTTCACAATGAGGCGTCATAATTCTTCTAAATGAAGACCTTTTAACCCCCAGGGCAGAGTTTAAATGGTTTGAATAATTTTTTCTGGTTACCGTTTTTTAGCGAGTTAGTTTTTATGGGGTGGGGACGCTAACCCCTTGCCCAACCCTCCTCTTTTACCCGGGCTTGGGACCGGCAGTAACTCTACAAGAGCTACAGGCGGAGTTATACATCTTGTAGTGCACGCGTTATTCACCTAGAATACACACATAATTGAATTGCGTTTTAAAAAGTCAAACACAAGCATCTAACAGTCTATTGCTTAATTGTAGGACTATGGGTTATCTTGAGGCGAGATTATTTACCGATTTTTCAATGTTTAATGTATGTGTAATGTCAGGCATCTTCCCTTTCACTTAGTGGGTGAATCGTTAATATAGGAGGATGATATATTCTGAGGATTTTTACTTCACCTTCTCGTTTTCACCTTATTTGCTTATTATTCAGGATGCTACCCTATAGTGACACGTTCCTAACAGACAATGGTGAATAACCTGAGATGTTTGAAATGAAATCCGCATCAAAAAGTATGCTCTTGTATCAGTCACAAAGGAGTGGAAAATTGCCCGAAAGTGCTTGATCATGCGTATATATTAAACATTGAAAAACAGGCATACAACTTCACTAGCTATTTAATATCTACTCAACATTTATTATTATATTTGATAACTCGTTCCATATAATTCATTTCCTCATTCCTTTTTATAAAAATCAATTCTCACCTTGTCCACTTGGTTTTATTTAAGAACTAATGAGCTAGAAATATAGCTAATTTATGCTACTTCGTGTTGAAACTTTCCCATTGATACAGCAATGGTAATCACGGTAGCTTAGTTGTTCAAATCAATTAGTTATACAAGGTTAATTGAGTTAACCTAATTTTTGGATTGAATACTCATAAACCTAACTAATATAAACAGCGTTAATCAAGTGCTGATTAGTACGAAAACTACCTTCATTAAATTGTTGTTATGAAACTAACAAAATGATAATAATTCCCCCTTCCCTCCCCCCCCCCAAAAAAAGCTGTTAATAGATAGTATGATTTTATATTTAAACTACTGAACGTTCATTCGAGTTTTGGGAAA